GAAGGGCGTTCCTTCTTCAGGGAGGCGATTGCGCTGAGAGCTTCAAGGAGTTCAATGCTGATAATATCAGGGATACTTTCAGGGTTCTGCTGCAGATGGCCGTTGTCCTCATGTTTGGAGGCCAGATGCCTGTCATCAAGGTGAGGTTTTGGTGCCTTTGGTTTTGATTGAATCTCTGGCTCCTGATTCTGCTAGGGTTTGACTGATTTCTGTTTTGATATGGATGTGCAAACCCAAAAAAAAAAAAAGAAAAAAGGCGATTTTGAAGTAATTAGACGTTTCTCAAGAACTTGCCTTCAAATATCAGTGGCAGTTGATATTTCCAGATAAGAATGTTTTCCATGGCTAATTGGGGGGAAAGTTCATCATTTTCTAAAATTGGAAGTACTTGCACGTTTCTCAAGTGCTCAGCTTCAAATATCACGGCAATTACGTATTCAGTGATTATGCATGTTTTGATTAAAAACAAAATGGGAATTGTAGCCCTTAAAGAGCAATTGTTCATTCTCATAATTTCTGTATGACAATAACTTTTAGCTTACTGTAGAATTGAGCTGAGTTGAACTGCACTCTAGTTTGAAACTTCTGAATGACTGCTTAGCCCGTCATCCATTCAACAGGTAGGGAGGATGGCGGGTCAGTTTGCGAAGCCAAGGTCCGACCCATTTGAGGAGAGGGATGGGGTAAAGCTGCCAAGCTACAGGGGAGACAACGTCAATGGTGATGCTTTTGATGAGAAATCACGGATTCCCGATCCACAAAGGATGAACACTGCCTACAGCCAGTCCGTTGCAACTCTCAATCTCCTACGGGCTTTGGCAACTGGAGGTTATGCTGCCATGCAGAGAGTCTCAGAGTGGAATCTCGACTTCACTGAGAACAGCGAGCAAGGGGACAGGTATGTATCATGTTCGTCCTATTGTTTGAGCGTGGGCTGATCGTGTAAAAAAGGTTTTTATCTACTAAATGTTTGAAAGTACATTTCTACACCTAACCACGAAGAAATTGCTCTTCGCTAGTCATAGCTTTTACTTGGATAAACTTCACTTGATAATGTTAAATTCAACAAATTTAACTATGGTGTAATATGCTTTTTGACACGTGTAGAAGAAGATGAATTTGGAAATAAGAAATGGAAATTATTTTTTGGTTATATATCGACTGGATGGATGCTTAAAAACTTACATAAGTTTAGCTCTCTGATGTGTCATTAAGACATAAACCTAACCACCTCAGAGTTCCATTGCTCAATATGATGATTTTTACTTACGCCCTCCAATTCTTTTAATTAAGAAAAAAACTCTGGGGAGGGATACTTATAAATACTTGATAATAGGCAAGTTCTTGATTTTAAGAGTTGATATTAATTCCAATGTGATTAATACATGTGAATTCAAAGTTGTCATGGAAAGAACCTGTAGGAAATTTACCCTTTTTTATCACAAGGAATATAAATTGGACTTCGGTTTTCAGTCACAGCTATGCCATATCATTTCTACTTTCTCTCATTACATCTGTTCCATGTCTGTCTTGAACTTATATCTTCTCTTTACCAAATGGTAGATATTGACAAGATTTATTTTGGATGTTTGTTTTTTGGAGACATTGATATTTCTAAATTTCTAGTTTTATCTCATTTCTGAGAGGTGATATTTTATTCTTTATCATTCTTTTGGAGCCATGAGAGGTTCAACTTCAAGTTGTTGTTGTAAGAAATGTCTATAAAAGTAACTAGATATTTATATGGGCAAAACATCCTACACAAAAAACATGTGGTGATAACTGATTCACATATGCCAAACATGATAAGAATAGCAGACATTTATCCATCTCACGTGGTATCAAATATGTCCAGGGAAGAAATTTGGTTCCTTCCCGAAAACTAAAAGGTTGTACATGGGTCCAAATTATCTGCACTTTTTATCTTAATTTTGCAATAGAAAGAGTCTGGACCGCTGTTCAAAACAGGACTGAAATGACATGTTCTGTGTCTGGGAAGAGATTTTATATGTGACTTGGTAATGGTCATAATAGTGAACTGTACAAGTATGTAGTAGAGTAATGGAAGAATATGGTTTTTTAGTTGGAGCTTGGAAGCTCACATGCTTCAATTTTGGGTGCTCCAGGAGCTGTATTGTAGAATATGTGGCCGGAAGAAACTCAAAAAATAAGAGCATAAATTACCATAGGAGTAGAAAAGAAACACCTATGTCTTATCATCCATATAAAAATCAACCGAAGAAATTTCTGATGTTCCTGCTCAATTTTAGTTTGTCATAGATATTAACAAATACCCATCTGGAGACCACTCTATATAGGTTGTTCTCGTCAGAATTTTCACTGGAGAACTGGAGTGACAATGCAAAATGCGGGATAAGACAATGGATCTGTGAAATCCTGTCCTTAATTAGTACAGATTGGTTGTGATCCGGATGAAATTAGCTAGTCAGGCTCAAACTCCTTTCATAATATTTTTCTGCAAAAAATAGGTACCTGGAATTGGCAAATCGCATTGACGAGACCCTAGGTTTCATGGCTGCAGCCGGGCTCACACTCGACCACCCCATCATGAAATCCACTAATTTCTGGACATCTCATGAATGTCTGCTCCTCCCTTATGAGCAAGCACTCACTCGTGAGGACTCCACCACCGGCCTCTACTATGATTGTTCAGCCCACATGCTCTGGGTTGGCGAAAGAACTCGCCAGCTTGATGGAGCTCATGTCGAGTTCGTCCGAGGCATCGCCAATCCCCTTGGCATCAAGGTATTGATGAGCATTCTTTAAATTGTTAGTTGCACATAGACCCCTTGCACTATCATTCTTCCAAACTTACTACGCATGTAGTTTCATTGCTGCAGATAGACCTCTTGCGTTAAACTTTTTGGGCTTTTTTACCCTCAACTAAGACTCTCAGTAATTGCACCCTTGGCAATATGTGCCAAAAATTCATGTAGGATAAAAGAGTAAAAAAACTTAAATCGAGGTTCATCCGCAACAATGTAATTGCAAGGATAGTAAGTTCAAAACAACAATACTACAGTGGTCTATGTGTAATTAACTGTTTCTTTAAATGTATTTTGATTGCTTTCATATTAACACAAGGAATGATGGGTGTAGGCAAGTGATAAGATGGATCCAAAGGAGCTGGTGAAGTTGATTGAGATCTTGAACCCACAGAACAAAACAGGAAGAATCACTGTTATCACGAGGATGGGATCGGAGAATATGAGAGTGAAGCTGCCTCATCTGATTAGGGCAGTGAGAGGAGCAGGACAGATTGTTACTTGGGTTAGTGATCCGATGCACGGGAATACAATCAAGGCTCCCTGTGGCCTCAAGACTCGTTCTTTTGACGCGATTCGGGTATGCTAATCATCTCCCTTCCTTTCTCCTTACGCAATTCCTTCTTTCTAAATTAATGGAGCAATTGCAAAAAGAATTTATAGAGCAAGTAGTTTCTGATCTTTACTCCTTTCAGTGCTTGTCATTTCACAGAGTTGAGAATTTTATTTTACTGTTTTCTTTCAAATGCTAATGCACAATTGTCCTTTACACAATATAAAGTTTGATAGTCTTTTCCTCTATCTAAATGAGCAATTGTCGAAAGAATTTGTAAGAGCATGCAGTTTTCCAATATTTTCTCTTTTCTGTGCTTCTCTTTTTCATTTCCACGTTTCAGAGCTAATTTTACGCACGCATAATGGGATATGAAGTATTAATCTTTCACTTTCTCTTTTTGATAAGTGAGCTGCTGAATAACCAACGATTTATTCTGGTGGGCCTAGCATGTCAGAACTTGTGTTATCATATTATTGATCTCTAATTCCATATGTTTACTTTAGGAAGTCTGGCAGATTCCTTTGAGTCTACAAAGAGATGTTCTATCTGCTATTGTAGGATCCACATATTATTTAGGTGGAATGTTAGCTGTTCAATCTTGTTACTCTACACTAACTTGTGGATTGGATATCAAAAGGTCTTCATGCGAAAGTTCTTACAGGCTAGAGTAGTTTCTTAGGCCACCTCGACAGTTGTTAGATAAGATGTGTGGTTAAAAAATTAATAGTAGATAGAACAGTTTAGTGTAGTATATTTCAATACCCAGAATCTCAATTTTTATTTGAACATTCTCGTGTATTCTTTAAAAGTATGAGGGGTTTCTTTTGAATGTTTTACTTCAACTATCAAGATGTTAATTTGGTCAATCTGTTCTATTATAATCAAAATCGCCAGCATTTTTTTAGGTCTCAGAGTTTATGTCTATATATGTTAGCTGAAGATCCATCATATTTTTAAAGAAGTCATATGAGACTATAGAATTATGATAAAACTGATTGCAATGCATCTGGATTGGGTTTTTGAATATTTTTACTTCGAACATCAGTCTAGACTAATCATTTACTGAATAGGTAGAAGCCATGCGAGACCATAGAATTATAATGTGCTATTAATCTCGTTGTTTATTTTTGGTTATTTTGACCATCCTTGTTAGCCTGTACTGAATAGATTTCTTCACTCAAATATCATTTTAGCTACATTGCTGGAAACAAATGCCAGCATATTAATTTTCATTTTTGTTCATAAGACAGCTGCTTTAAAAGCACTCCATATATGTCATTCTGTTGTTAGGTAAAAGATAAACATTCTTGTAGGTTCCCGGTTTGGTCTTCATATGTTTTGATTTGAGATTTTTACACATGCTTTAGGTACCCGGTTTGCATTCAGTCCATGTATTTATATTTATTTATTAGACAGGTTCCATTACAGTAATTTGATCTCCGTTTCTCATTTGAACTTATCATTTAGCTCAAGAAACTCCTAACCTCAGCTGTACATAATCCCTTCCTGCTATTATGACATACAGGCAGAGCTGAGGGCATTCTTTGATGTACACGATCAAGAGGGTAGCCACCCCGGTGGAGTTCACCTGGAGATGACTGGGCAAAATGTGACCGAGTGTGTTGGTGGGTCCCGAACTGTCACCTTCGATGACCTGACCTCTCGCTATCACACCCACTGTGACCCAAGATTGAACGCATCTCAATCCCTCGAGCTCTCCTTCCTCATTGCTGAGAGACTCCGCAGGAGGAGGCTCCTCTCGCAAGCTCAGCTGCCAACCAGTCCAGCCTTTAGGTTCTAAGTATGGAGTTTCTTGTTTATTTTTTATTTTTTATGTCAGTGCGTATGTCAGCTCTATAACTTGTCTGAGTAGTACTGGTGAGATATATGTACGTATCAGCTCTGAGAAATGTCTCTGGCCATCGAAAAGTTAATAAAGTCACTATTGGATGAGTTTTGTGAGTCTGTGGTTCATCGAACGTTTGCAAGATGGTCTTTTTAGTAATAGAATTCTACGAAGCATGCTGATGCTGCCTTGTTTGTTGTCTTTTCTGTATGGTTCTCTGCTCTGCAGTTTCTCCCCTCACGATAGACCTGTGGGTATTGTTAGCGCCTATGACTAAATTTGGAATAAAACCGATAAATCTATTAGATAGCTAAAGTGTTGTATTTTTAAAAAAATTTCAAGTTTAGCTGCTGTACATTTATGAAACGTTGTGCTTAAAGCAATATTTAGCTTACTTCGGTGCAATGATCCCAAGACCAAACTACTTCCAGGAACAATAGTACAGTACACTAGTGCATGCACTGCCCAAGTACTGTTAAGATCTCCCCGATCTATAAGACATTTCAGTCAAGGCAAAGATCTCCTCGATCTGTTAAACCTTTCGGTTCAAAAACCATTTGGTTAAAACCTTTCGGTTCAGGCAAAGATCTCATTGATCTGTTAAAACCTTTCGGTTACAAAAACCTTTC